GAGGAAAATTGCAAAACTCTGATGAAAGAAATCAATGAAGAATTAAATAAATAAAAAGTCCATGCTGGTGAATAGGAAGACTCAATATTGTCAAGATGTTAGTTCTTCCCAACTTTATCTATAGAGTCAATGCGATCCTAATCAAAATCTCAGCGAGTTATTTTGTGGGTATTGACAAACTGATTTTAAAGTTTATATGGAAAGGCAAAAGACCCAGAATAGCCAGCAGAATATTAAAGGAGAAGAACAAAGTTGGAAGATTGATACTACCCACCCTCAAGACTTACTAAATCTACAGTATTCAGAACAGTGTGGTTTGAGCACATGAACTGACACTAGATCAGTGGAACGGAATAGAGAACTCAGAAATAGACCTACGTGAATATAGTCAACTGATCACTGAAAAAGGAGCAAAAGCAAAACAATGGAGCAAAGATAGTCTTTTCAATAAAAAGTGCTTAAACAACTAGACATCCTCATGCAAGGAAAAGATGAATTAAGACACAGACTTTACACCCTTCACAAAAATTAATTCAAAATGGATCAGACTTAAATGTAAAACACAAAACTATAAAACTCCTACAAGGTGACGTAGGAAAAAATCTAGGTGACTACAGGTATGATGATGATTTTTATTTATTTTCCCCAAAACAATACAGCTCTTTTATTGTATCATTAAAATATCACAGACCAGTCTTAGGAATCATCTGGCGTCCTGTTTCTGTAGCTGGACAACTCTTACGTCTTATTCATCAGCCTGCCGAACTGTTCCTTTCTCAGAAACATAGATATCATCCAAATTTTTTCGGATATCATTGTTTATAACGACTGTGGCTTGCTGAATCAAAGCAGCTGGGCTTGAAACACTGTTGTTTCCTTCAAGGATTAACTATCCGGGCTTGAGATGCTAAACAAGCAACACCTGGCCTCATCCAAAATCTGTGAATGTATTTTTCACCCAAGGAATTTTGGAGTTCACCAAGAGACCCATTATTTTGGATGATGACATTGATGGGGAAGTGAGCACACACAGACCTTGTCTTGTAACGGAAGCCCAGTTACCACCCTCGACCACGTTCTATATATGACCACAAATAGTGCAAATGGTAGCCGGTTCCTTTCCATTTACCCAATGTTTGTCAAACTGGAGCTCTTTTTCTTCCCTGAATTCTACATTGATGTGATTGAAGTCCCTCCACAGGGCCCCACAATAACTGTGCATCCCTTCAGAGTGACGCAGACATTTTCTGGAATGTCAACAGTCTTATTGCTGAGAATGGTCTTTATTCTCACAGTAGATGCGGCAGACGGTGATGACTTTTTAGACACAGCACTAAAGGCACAAACGAAAGGAGTAACTGATAAACTAAACTTCACTAAAATTAAAAACTTTTGCTCTGCAAAAAACACTGTCAAGAGAATGAGAAGACAAGCCACAGACTGGGGGACAATAGTTGCAAAAGATATATCTGATAAAGGACCCTTATCTAAAATATAAAAGAATTCTTAAAACTCAACAATAAGAAAACAAACAACCCAATTAGAAAATGGGGCAAAGACTTTAATAGACACCTCACCAAAGAAGACTTACAGCTGGCAAGTAACCATTTGAAAAGATGCTCTACATCACATGTCATCAGGGAAATGCAAACTAAAACAATGAGATATCACTGCACAACTATCAGAATGGCCAGAATCCAGAACACTGACAACACCAAATACTGGCAAGAATGTGAAGAAACAGGGGCTCTCATTCATTGCTGATAGAAATGCAAAATGGTCCAACTGTCTTTGAAAGATAGTTCAGCAATTTCTTACAAAACCAAACATACGCTTACCATATAATCCAGCAATCATTCTCCATGGCAATTTACCCAAAGGAGCTGAAAATTTATATCCACACAAACACCTGCACATGGATGTTTATAGCAGTTTGATTCATAATTGCAAAAATCTGGAAGCAACCAAAATGATCTTCAGTAGGTTAATGGATACATAACCTGGATGTGGTACATCCAGACAACAGAATAGTATTCATTGATAAACAGCATTGAGCTATCAAATGGTGAAAAGACATGGAGGAACCTTAAATTTTATTACTAAGTGAAAGAAACCAATCTGAAAAGACTATATCCTATATGATTCCAACTATATGACATTTTGGAAAAGGCAAAACTTCGGAGACAGTAAAAAGATCAGTGGTTGCCAGGGGTTTGGGATGAAAAGTTGAGAGCAAGGAAGATTTTTAGGGTGGTGAAAATACTCCGTGTGATACTCTAATGGTGGATACATGTCATTATACATTTGCACAAACCCATATAACGGATAACACCATGAGTGAACTCTTATGTAAACTATGGACTTTGGCTGATAAAGATGCATCAATGTATAATAGGTCCATCGATTGTATTAGTAACAAATGCACCACTCTGGTGGGAGATGCTGATAACATGGGAGGCTGTGCATGTATTGGGACAGGAGGTATAAGGGAGATCTCTGTACCTTCTGATCAATTTTGTTGTGCAACTAAAACTGCTCTTAAAAAAGAGTCTTTTAAAAAGGGTATTGGTACCTCTTGCTCTCCCAACTACCACCTGCTTCTATACCTGTTTCAGCCTGTTTGTTTGGGACTTCTTTCTTCTGCTCGTGACATTCTTTTAAATATGATTCACAAGATATAAATGAGTGGGCTGTGGGAATTAGAGTGAATCTTGTATGATCTGCCCTGAATCTTGTAATTTACACTCCAAAGGACAGTCCAGGGCTTTGAACCCCATCAGGGTTGCTCCTAGACGAACAAGGGGGCAGCCAAAGCGACAATACCCAAGGATACCAAAAACATAACACAAATAAGCTGCCTACATTTGTAACGATGCCACTGAATAATAAAAGTAAATTTATTTCTGAATTACTTAAGGATCATGAAAGAGAAACATTAACTCTCGTGTTATAAAAACAGTAGTAAAATACAGTACACAGGAATGTCATTTGAGTGATGACAAAAGTATAATAGCAAATGAAAAACAGCAACTTTTAACTTTAAATACCAATGTGAAGCAATTTAATAAGAAATTTTGTTAATAAGAAAATATATGTCCCGTGTCTTTATTACATACTGTACAAAATAAAATATTGCACCTTTAATTCATATAATAAATATATACAAAGAGTATTTTACAAATGATCTTTCTTTTAATTTAATAACCTTCAACAATCATATGTGAGTGATGATTAACAACTCATGGGCTGGTGTGTCCTCTTCATTTTCCCCTTCCCCAGCCACCAAACCCTCCACACACAGCAGTGGCCCCCCATCCCCAGCCACCAAACCCTCCACGCACAGCTGTGCTCATCCCAGTGTCAGTGAGGCTCAAGTTGACAAAAGGGACCTGGTGCTCAGAACATGGCAGAGGAACGCAGCAAGCCTGTGCACAGACAAATCCAAAGCCATAATGCGCTGTTCACTTATTATCGACCAGGGACTAGGTCCAGCACAACCTGCTGCAGGTAACTTGATTGCCAACAGGCGGCGGGCAGCACGTGTACAGGCAGCTGGGACGCTGAATAAAGAAGTATGACCACTTATTTGGGGTTGCGTGTCCTCTAAAGCCGTAACTAGCAGGATGTAAGAGAAAGAGCCCCACAGCCAAATCAGCTCTAGAACTTACGATTTAATGTAAGCCTGAACCTACTTCAGCAACAACATTTACTGCAAACTTAACCTCCACCCTGACACTATCACTAACACCAGGATTGGCCCTAGTCTAAACCCAACCCAATCCTGACCTAACCCTAACCACTAAAGCCAACTCTAACCTTAGCCCTAACTCAACTTCCTTTCTCACCTAACCCAGTCCTAGCTCTAATCCTAAAACTAAAATTTACCCTTGCCTTTTTCTCTAAATCCTAAACCAAATCCTAACTCGAACCCTAAAACTGTAACTTCCAGCCTAACCTAATTCACTTTGGGTTTACTGAAAAAACAGCTCAGATTAAAACAATTATTTACTATAAACAATTCTTTTCAACTATCATGTTTCTTATTTAGATTACTTTCTTATAAATTTTCCAAAATAAAAATCCTCAGGAATACTCTTCTATGCATAAATTAGGTCTAATAAGGCTTTGATTTTTCTGTTCGTGTGCAAGAGGATAGTGCTTTAAAAAAGTTTCATTCACAGCTCTTAAAAAGAAAGCTTTGAATACACTTCAAGATCAGTAGAAAAGGTCAACTTTCCCTCTTCTTTGACTTCCAAGATGCCTCACGTGGTCACGGACAGATTTCTGCAGTTGTGAAAATGGCAGCGGAATCTACTGCGTGTCGTCTTCCACGGGAGCTCTGAGAGCAAGGACAAGATGCCATGCCCCTGCGAATCCTTGGGTCGGTCAGTGTCGCAAGCCTGTCCAGAAAGAGTGTCTCTTTTTCACAGACTAAACTTAAGGATCTACGAAAATGCCACTGGCACCGACGTACCTGGCCAGAGCTTCTAAAATGTAAATACCTGTTGAAACCCTACGACTTGGGAGAAGTCATCAGGTGCTGTGCTGCCCAAGTCTTCAGGATGTGCCACTCTGTGCTAGTCTATAAACCACAGGCCCGAGGCAGCGTGTGCTCATGCACTCACGGTCGTGGAGATTTCCTGCTCCGACAGGCCCCAAGAGGCCCCAAGCGCAATGGCACGTGTGCTGTGGTTAACCCTGGAATACATCAATTTTAAAAACTGGAATTATGGGGGGAGGGGGCAAGGGCAACATACGTAACCTAAACATCTGTACCCTCATAATATGCTGAAATAAAAAAAAAAATTGGAATTAAAAGCTGACCTTGGGAAAATTTCACTTTACAAAATTTTAAAAGTGGTGTTTTCGTATGAACCTCTCTTTGACCATAGATTCTAGAGTCTTTTAAGAAATATATGTTTTTGAACCAGTGACATGGGGAAAAAAGCTTTTATAGTTTCCTTTTATCTTCACAGCAGCATCATGACCCCTCCAAAGGTTTATCCTTCTTGACACGCCTGGCAGCACCTTTGTTTGTAGAGGTGTAGAGAGCACAAGTTAAGATGCTTCACGAACACACAGTAGTGAGTTGTGTCTGTGCAATCTCCTGCCAAAAAGAAAAAAATCCATAACACACAGCTCGTTAGAGACCTAGTAAAAAATCATTTGAGTTTATGAAAACCATACATTGAGATCACAGAGTGAGGTGAAGAAATTAGCTTTGGGTTAGGGCCGTTGCCTTGCACTAGAATCGGAGGTGCATTGGACTCTGTTCCCAGCTCGGCCAAGCGGCCTCCCACTGCTCTCCGGGGACCTCCCTGCCCCACCGGCCCATCTGCTCCTCTCCGTGCTCAGAGCAGCAATGTTTAGCGTCATGTACCCTTTGGAAAACTTATGAAAGCTACGGACCTGCTCCCTCGAAAAACAAACCTATGATTAATCTCTACATATACTTTCAGGACATTTGCGTACCTACACAAGCTCATCCATGGAATCTCTGTCTTGGCAGATGAGACCACCAGGCAGAAGAGAGGTGTGTGGAGAGGCTGCCAGTGCTTGTCAGAAAGTGTAACCCATGATGCTGGCACCCTACTAATTCAACCGTGTTTTCTCTAGACAACACAGTTGTACCCACATAAAGGAGCTAATCTCCTACGGTCCCAAGCTACCACATCCATTCAGATGGGACCCTGACAAGGCAGGCACAGAAGGGTCTGATGTGGCAATGGTGCCCCAGGGGCTGGCGCCACCAAGGCCCCTGGGGCAGGGGTGCTACCTGAGAGGGGTACATACTATCACAGGAAGGCCCGAGGCAGTGCCGCCAGGAAGCTGGTTTCCGTTTCTGCGCACAGCGTCTCTCGGCCACGGGTTTGCAGCTCCTTGTGTGCACACAGTCCACCTTCCGAGACTGGAAGCCCCTGCCGCAGGCTGCCGTACAGGGCCTCCACGGGCCTGCGCGCCAGCACACGTCACAGGCCCCTGACGTGCAGTTCCTCCTTAAGCTGGGCCTGAAATGAAATAAAACGGAAAACAGGAGAGGCAGGGTGTCACTTCTTGTCGGGACCAAGCCTTTTACCCTATTATACATTCCTTGTACTAAAGGTTTGACAGTTAGGACCCTGTTCATCACTGATTTGTACTGTTCGTGTTTGGCTAAGCAAAGTAGTGGTACAATCACAACCATAATCGAAATAATTAAATCACTTCAGAATATAGGCAGTTTTCAAGCCATTGAGAATGACCTTACAGTCCATGGACGTTAGCCCCAGATATATTAGGAAGGTTCTGGAAACTGTCACAGATACATGATTGGGGAGAAGGAAGAAGACCTAACTTAGAAAAATTCAATCCAATAAACATTTACTTACAGCTTTTTATGAGTCAGGCACAGGAGTACAAGGAAGTAGAAATGGGTAAAATACACCCCTAGTGCCAAAAAATAGTTCAAAAATATATGGTAGAAATCAGCAAGTGACCAATTCACCAAAGTATGAGGCAGGCTGGAATCACTCCACTGAGAGAAGGCCAACAGTGGGAGCTCACATTCAAAGTTTACACGAGAAAAATCAACGGGAAGATGTGGGTGAGTTGTACAAACGCATCCTTGCCCTGGGAAAGGCTTCCCTCCCCATTGACGGTGGATTGTAAGACGTCTTGGTCTTAGACTCTTCCATCTAAGACCAAGACATTCCCCTCTTCTAGGCCATGCAGTCTGGGGTGACAGTGAGGACATTCCTCACTCCCAGGGGCTGAGAGGCCCTGTTAGATACGCTCTGATGAAGACAGCATGGCAAGCAAACCATGTGTTTTCACTGATTTCCAACGCCACGTCGAGGCACTGCATATCAAAAGATACGCTCTCCTGGTAAGTGCGAACAGATCAATTTAGGCAAGGAAGGGAATTATTTACTATAATGGCCTACAATAAACCACTTCAAATTTGTTCATAAGCCTTAGGTTTTCTGTTCATAAGCACTTGAAACATTCTGAGTCTGAATTTACAAGTGAGCAATCTTGTCTGCTGAAAGAAGTGCTCTTACGTTTACATTTAGGCCACACCAAGGCTGTGGTCAGGAACTACCAAAGCCCATTAGGGAAGAAGAATCTCTGCCTGATTTCCCTGCCCTTTAAAACAGAACAGAAAGTTAAGACCCTCTGATTTCTGAAAAGATATTTACTTTGAAGGATGGAGTCACCTTAGTGGACCCACTTTGGGAGATCTGTCCTTATTCCCTAGGGCAGGGCTTCTGGAAGATACACTGTACCGTGTGAGGATGTGCTCCCACCCCCAAAGGTGAATGGAAGAGAGCCCTCACTTGAGAGGGCTCAATAATTGTCTTTCTCTTGGGAATTTGGAGGTCACTGGATCCAGATATGCAAACCCGAAGCTTGGAGTAGTGGTGGCCATATTTTGCCAAGTGGGCCAGAGAGATAGAAAAAAACCCAGTTTTTGGAAACAGCAAAGAATGAAGCAGAAACCCACAGAGCCATAGAGATGAGGAGAGGGAAAAATAAAAACCAACCCAATGACTTTCCATGTCTTAGTTATAGTCCTGCCTGAGGTCTGATGGCATTCACTCTTTGGATTCTATGAGACATTTTTATAATATTATTAAAAGCTCCTCTTCCTGCCACGTAAATCTATAAGGAGTGTTGAAACGCCACTGGAAGTGTGATAAAATGGAAAATATTGTGAAAATCTATAACTTCTCTAAGGGAGAGTATTGCACGTAACTGGAAGTAATACTTCGATTAGCCAGTAGGGGGAGACCCCACCAAAGGGTTTACTTAAGAAATAATACTATCCCACCAAACCGTTTATAAGGTTAATGAGGTGAGAGTGGGGGGTGTCCTGTTAACTGCTTTTGTTTTCCCCAGCGGGTATGAATCCTAGGGACCAAAAGTTGGGTCGATTTGAACAACAGAGCAGAGCCTCATTACTCCTCAGCATCTCCTCATACAGAGATCAGCTTTTCTACTGAAAAAGATTAAACAAATATTCAAAAAATATTCAAAAGAATATATTTAAAATGATACCAAATTGTGCACAAGTGTTGGGTGGTCTTGTCTTATTAATAAATCCCTCAGTCTCTTTGCATAAATCATTCCAAGTTGACTTTTGCTGTTTCCAGTCCAAAGGACTTTAACATAGCCACCTCTGCTCCAGCGGAAGGCCGGGCTCAGTGGGAAGTCAGAAGGAACCACCGAGCTTCCTAAATATAAAGAATGAGAGGGCAACAGGGACCTATGGACCAACACAGAAGCTGAAGCCCAGGATAACTCAGAGGCGGGTAATTGAGAACTTGCTAAAAAAAAAAAAAAAATGCAAGGTTGGTCCAGCAGAGGGCATCACTTCCTCCCAACCAGGGGCAGGAATCAGGACAGGACTCAGGACAGGGACACCTGAGCCAAGTGGACATAGTCTGGGCACCAGCACTGTGCTCACAATTCGGGCTCATGTGTTTTTCTACATGAAAAACGAATGCAGAAATGGCAGCAGAAATCAACGCAACCCTGTTTCTACTAGCTTTTCTCAATTTCTCATTTCTATTCAGTCTGGCTCCACCCCTGCCTCAAATAACTCCTTTAACCGTCCGTCAGAGGGAGCTGCTGATTCTGAGGGCAGTGGGTCACAGCCTGGCTGGTTATCAGAAGTGGGCAGAAGAGGGTGGCTGTAAAGAGATGCAGGTTGCCAGGCAACCTCCGGAAGGTTCTGATTCATTAAGTCTGAGGTGAGGCCCAAGAATCTCTATTTTACAGAAATTTCCCAGGCAATTCTGACTCTTGGCTGAAGTTAGCAATCACCAGTTTGGGAAGCAAACTTTCTATGTCCTCAGCATTTTCTCAGGTCCCCATGTTGTCGTCTTGCCAAGATTCTGGGCTAGCTCGACCCTGACAACTCCCCTGCCCAACTTTTCGATGGAGGCCACACCTCCTGAGCTCTTCCCAAGGCCAGAAGAAGGTCCAGCCGACAGCCTGCCCACCACTGATCCTCCACCCACAGCCACGAATGGCTGGAGCCTTTTAGACACCCTCTAACATTTCCCAAGGCCCCACTATGGCAACTGTGGGGTCGGGGTTCCATTGCTCCCTGTCCACATGCTCTGAAGGAAGATCTAACACCTCACCTACCTACACCCTGCAGCCGGCACACCGATTCAGCAGAAGAGGTCTGGGGGGGAACAGAATTCAACACTGCAAAAGGAACCCTCGACAGCTCTTACTCTAACCAACTTAGTCCTTCGTCCATAAACTACCAGATATTTGAGGAAAAATTACAGCATGAAAGAAAAGCACCAGCCTGTAAAAACAGAACAGTCAACCCTGGAGGAAAGAGAAATAAAAGAGAAAATGAATAGTAACCTGAGTCCTTCCCTCCCCGTAGCTTTAGAAATTTTTCTGCTATTATTTTTAAGAAATTTCTACCCTTTCTTTTCACTCCCATATCTCATTGCCTAAAACTCGATTTAGTCAGATTTTGAACCTCCTGATAGACCCTTTCATGCCTTTTATCTTATCTATTATATTTTCTGCCTCTTAGTTTTGCTGCTTTTGATTGGAGAGTGCACGGCTCATCCAAGGAATTGAAAGAAGGACAATGTGGCTGGAACATGAAGAGTAAGAGAGTGTAAGGTCTTGGATGAGACCATAAAGGGAAGCAGGACTTGAGCACGTGGCATTTTACAAAACACATTAAGGATCTTCTTCCTAAGAGCAAGTAAGGCCTCTAAAGTGATTTCAGTCTAGCAGAGACATGGGTTGTGGGGCGAGTATGATCAGATTTGCGTTTGGGAACACGCACGCCAGCTGCAGTGTGGAGGCAGGATTGGAAAGGAGCATCATGGATGCAGAAGCAGTAGGTGGACGGCTGTGGCACAGGACCAGGTGAGAGATGATGGCAGCTTGGCCAAAGGTCATGATGGCAGAAATGGAAAAAATAGATGGGTTCAAGAAAAAAATACAAGGAGTCAAAATGCACATAAAAAGTAATTAGAAAAATACAAATTACAATGGGATATAACTTTTCATCCATCAGATTGGAAAAATTTTTTAAAGACCTATATAATGTTGATGAAAAAGGGGTGACTCACACAGATTGTTGATATCAACATTTTGATGGTAATTTGGTAGTATCAAAATGAGCATGCCTACCAATTCAATTCCATATCTAAAAATCTACCCTATAAAAATATTACACTTTGTGCACAAAGATGTATGTTCCAGGATGTTTGCTGCAGCATTTGTCTTTAATAGCAAAAAAAACTGAAACAATCAAATGTCCATCAGCAACAGAATAATGGAATATTAAGTACAACAACTGGAAAGAATAAAGTTAATCTTTACCAGATGGGAATAGTCTGTAATATATTATTTTTTTGTTGTTCTTGCAGATCTTTTAATATGTATTTATACACATGGATTTAAATGTATGCAATTTTTTTCTAAATGTATAACAATAAAACATTTTATTTGACAAGTTTCTGGTTTATTTATTCATTTATTTTAAAATATTAAGGGGGTACAAGTGTTTTTGTTACATGGATAACCTTGTATAATGCTTAAGTCAGGGTTTCTGGTGTGCCCATTACCAGAATAGTGTTCATTGTACACAATAGGTAAATTTTTTCCTCTTTCCCCCCTCCCACTCTCCCCACTTTCTGGTTTCCAATGTCCTTTATATCTCTGTGTGCCTTTGTATACCCACCGTTTAGCTCCCACCTATTAGTGAGAACATATGGTGTTTGGTTTGCCGTTTCTGAGCTACTTCACTTAGGATAATGGTCTCCAGTTCCATCCAAGTTGCTGCAAATGACATTATTTCATTCCATTTTATGGCTGAGTAGTACTCCGTGGTGTATATATATACCATATTTTCTTTATCCACTCATGTATTAATGAGTAGTTAAGCTGATTCTACATCCTTGCAATTGGGAATTGGGCTGTGATAAACATTCAGGTGCAGGCATCTTTTTTATAAAATCACTTCTTTTCTTTTGGGTAGCTATCC